TAAATCAGATTGAGCTAATAGATGTAGTCATTAAGAAACAGACATTTGAAGGTACGGACGTCGAATTTGTTATTAATATTATTTTTTGAAATACATGAAACTTATTTTTTGCACATCTGCGCAAGGAAAAAATGTGTATGTATCTTATGAAAAATAGCATTCTCTTGTCATGTTGATATCATTAAATTTAAACAAAAACAAACGGAGTGAGTAGTTAAAATCAAATTTGATTTATCTGCCTATTTTGGAACGTGAAAAGTCAACAAAGGAATGGTTTGTCTACATCACACAATCTTGTATACTGTTTACTGTATACTGCTTAAGAACAGAAAAAAAAAACATATCACAGATGTCGCTATAAGCAAAGAAATATGAAAAGGGAAATAAATCAAAGGATCTTGGCAACTCAATAGATAAAAATATTTCGCATCGATAACGTTTCAATATGTCTAAATTTTCAAACAATACCAAACCACTTCTGCACTTACAAATTAAGGGTCAATTGCGGGCATTGTAACATTATAATTATAAGGGTTTACTGGAAGTGGTGCGTACTAATAAAAACAGCAAACAAAAAGTAGCTTATGACACTTCTTTTCTTTATTACATCACAAAATCACATATTCATTAATTATATGGTTTGTAGATTATGAATTTTCTATGAAGCTTTTTTTTTAAATTTAAAGATCAGCTGTTTTGTATGTAAGCTTATGGATATTGGCATAAAGAAACTATAGAAAAAGTACATAAGCAAAAATTAAAGACCAGAAAACAAAAATGACCATAGCACAATAACATGATGGCTGGATGTATAATATCCGAGTCACGCGAAAAGTATAGTACCAAAAATGGACTAAACAGTAAAGGTTAAAATATACAAAGACAAATAAAAACACCATAACACGTAATTAACATGATAAACAGTGTCAGAACCTAGAATCTATACTATAAGACCATCATGTATTATTTGTGAACTTTATCAACAAGGTCTTGGTAGCTTCCGTTGAACTTTATTTAGAAGAAGGACGAGACGTTCTTTGACATAACCCTGGTTCATCAACTTTTTGCTCATACACTGGTGACGTTTTATGAAGTCTGAGTAGCAGCTGAAAGCTCTTGAATACCGAAATAGTAAGGGTATGTATATCACACATGCAGGTGAAGTTGATGTATTGCTGCTAATGTAGGGAAATTTAAAAATTAAACCGTCCCGTTTGTCATAGATTTTGTTAATAAGATGACCGCTTATGTCAAATTCGAGGTATAAGTCTAAAAATGAGACGGAGGAAGCCGTGTCTATTGATTCTTTAATTTTACAGTTCTGGAGGATATACTAATGAAACCCAATCAGAAAATTTTGGATTGTTAATGGAAAGAACATCATCAATATATCTGAATGTGAAAATAAATTATCTGGCTTCTTTAATCTTCTTGCTTTTGATAAGAGTCTGAAGAATCCGACTCATATGAAAATAAGAAGAGGTGGCAAGGAGAGGCGCACTATTCGATCCAATAGGAATGCCGACCATTTGTTGAAAAAGTCTTCCTCCAAATTCAACAAATATGTGGTCAATAAGAAACTCCAGCATATTGATCACTTGTTCCTCTTTGTAGCATGTTTTACTTTTTTGTTCACTATTAACAAAATATGCCGTATGGTATCCCAAAGTAATAAATGTATACCATTTTTATATTGAAAAGCATTGTGGATTATTTCTTTTAGACGATGTTTCAATTTCACATGGAGAATAGTAGTATATAGGGTTGAAAAATGAAAAGTTTTGATAGAATCAATTTTGAATTAAATGCGAGTTTGTTTATTGTTGGCAATTGAGGTCATGCATATGTCAAACGGTTATCAAATTTGATAGATTCATCTGTGTGTTCTTTGATGCTAGAAGTGTTATATTTCCCAGTATTTGGATTTACTGCTCTTTTCTTTTGGCTTGCGTGTTTAACTCTTTGTTTTTGTTTTTAAAATGAATCGATTGCTGTGGTTAACTTAATATTGTTCGAACCATTCATATTTCTTTTCCTCTTTTGTCAATTGTTAACATCTATTGTCTTCTACTTTTCCATTATTTTGTTCTTAAAGTTTAGCAAACATTGCATTGTCGATTAAAATATTTCATATGTCAATTAATCTTGACTCAAACCGTGTTACTTCTATTTTGCACGAATTTCCGTTTCACTTTCAGATAAATTAATTTCAACAACTTGCAGTATTGTAAATGTGATCGTAAAAGCTATAAAACTTGTGCTATACTCATTACTGATACTTTTTTTGCAAAGTAACTTGACCACCAAAAGCTACGATACACGGAGTCATGAGGATCTGAATTGTACTGCATCTAATAGTGTGTACGGTATCACTAGTAAAAGATTTTAGTCTGAAACGATTATTTTGATCTTAACAACATCTGAAAAGACTTAAAAATACATTATCAAGTCATTTTCAGTCTTTCAGTATTTTTTTCAAATTGATTGACTGCGGAAAATTTAGTACTGTTCAGACAATTCGCTTGCAGTCAATTCAGTACTGTTCAGTGGCTTTTCAGACAATTCAGTATATTGTCGATTTTTAATAGAAAACAAAAGATATTGAACAAATCAGAACATAGACTGAACAGATCTCAATTAACTGCAATTTAATGGTAGGAACAGCACGTAATTTACCGCAGTAGATGAGGCGGAAAATTGAGTTAAAAACTGAAAATGACTTAACAATTTATTCAGTACTTTAAGAGCTGTTTAAGATCAAAATTACCGTTTTGGCCTAAAATGCATCTAATACTAGTGTATTGTGTGTTGTGGACTGATCTCTGCCGGTAAAATAAAACAAAGACTTAACGAATGATTGAATGCTCACCAGTTTAGTGTAAATGATTATTAGAACAATAAATTTCAGTTTTACCAGCCTGACCATTCCATTGTATCCCTAAAAGTCAGGATAATTGAGAAAATTATCATTGAGCAAAGACAAAATTGATGATGCAAGTATTTTATCTAGTCCTAAGAGTAGTGATATCAACAAATTACAATTATTTATCACATCTGTTCGACGCAATGGGAGTCACGGTAAGCGAACATATACACCAACACTAGTTCACACTGTGACTTTAGATGGTTTGTTATAATCTGTTCATAAACCTTTTGGAATTCACTATGTTCGAATTATACTCTATTCTATACCTTTATAAAACTTCAATTCACTTTAAAAAAAAAAGCCGATAACACCAATCTTATTGATACAAATTCTGCAATAGTTATGGACATTAGTAACCACAGGTTATTCAAATCATGACCACTAATTCCAAAGATGTTTGAAACGTATTTTTTTCATTTAGAACTTGCTAAGGGTTTCGTTGCTATCATTATTGGTAACATTTTCCACCAAAATCTACAGAAAACAATACCTTATTATTTCAAAGATAGAACAATAACTGTAATTTAATAGAACAATACCTAATATATTGCTTGGAAAATTTTCAACCACAAGAGGGTATAAGACCCTTAGCCCTCAGGGATGTAAAATTCAAAACTACCGATTGCTCGTGTGCATCGTCCCAATATAAATATAGTCCCGCTGTTCATTTTATAACTGTAGACCTTCACATTGTAAATAATAAACAACTTAGAAATTTGTTTATCGAAAGGCCTGAACTATCAAATTCCCCAGTCCATCAACTGCGAACATGCCAAACATGGTTAAAGCATAAGCCAGATGAACCAAAACTGGACACTTTATCTGAAAGGATCAATGATTTACGGTCATTTATCCAGAAGCGCAATCTAAATCTACGATGTCATTGAGCTCGAAGATTTCTGGCCCTTTCAAGAAGCCTGAAGTTTTGGATGCTTTTTTCTTTTTTCACGACAAATGTGTTGCTGTTACAGCAGACACAGCCTAACAATATTGTTTTTCTATATGCAAAACCCATTATTTGGAATAACTCACAAAAGAACTTGGAATTCACAACAGTAATTACCACATATTTCACGAAAGAGGTTTTCGAAAATCACATACCCGTCCTTCTCTCCTTTGTTATTAACATTTAAAAGGACGACGAAACTCTGCCATCTGTATACTGGATACCTTAACTCCACAAAAATCCTGATAAAGAACGATATATAGCCGGGTTGTCAAAATGTTCCGACTAAACATCTCTCTAAAGTTCTTACCACTAGTATGGACGTCTGATCTGTAGTTTTACTAATTGTTTCTTATACCCGATTGTCATAATTTTATTGATTGTGAACTCGCACGGCGTGAGATGAATACTCAGAAGGAGACACTAACCCTGTCGGCGCACCCGATATCGCTCCTTTTTTGGAGTATCAGTTTTTGTTTCTTTCTTTGATTCGATTCTTCCTAATGAAATTACGAGATTTGAACATCAGTAAACTACTGTCGCTTTAAATTCATTGTGGATTTCACCGTCGACGTGTCGTGATTTACCCTGAGTGTTTGATACTCCTTTAACTTGCTGAATATTCATACCTCTTATAACGTTATTTTTGCGTCTTATCTACGCTTACTTCTTCTTAACGATAGTTGATTGGTGTTAGTTTTAAAAGTGTTCAAGACATTGTTGATATTAACCTTTCATTTAACTTGCATCTAAATCTGATGAAAAGTAGGGGTGGCAACTGAAGCAAGACAAGGCGAACAGGTGTCTGACGAAATGTATCCACGATCCGCGTTGCAGCGTAGGCCTAAAATATTATTATTATTATTTGATTTCAATACGTTAAAACTACAGTATCAATACATACCTTCAAATCATGGAGATGTTACAATGTCATAAGTAACTATTTCTTGATATTATAAGTATTTTGAATCTTGTACGCAAAAGCTAAAGACATGAAAAAAAAAAGAAGATACCACGGTGAAACCAAACAGAAGAAATTTGAATATATTAAAACGATACTAGGCTAGGTATGAAACGAAGTATTATCTGAAATAAAATTACTGGAAGGTTAAGTGAAGGAAAAAATGATGGAGCTCTATACTATCGTTTATTTATCAATGTTTTGAATTTTAGTCTGCAATTCCTTAAACAGTAATATAGAGTGTATGTATATCATCGCTCAAATTAGATTAATGATAATATTTTTATGTGCACAAAATATAATATAGCATATGCTAAAAAGATAAAAGTACTTGCAATGATATCAATATTTCGCGAAACGTCTGACCATGCAATACGTTTATTAATATCCATGTAGTCAATTATTGCTCCGAGTTGTATTTTCATTCCGTTTTGATGAATATATAATTGATCGAATCCTTCCTTTACCTGAATAGATATATTTCCGTTTGTAATCAAAGTATATTCTTCTTTCACTTCCGCTGTTGGAGATTCAATTTTGTTGTTAGTTTTCTTTTTTACCTCCTTTTCCTTTGAGTGATCATGTTTACAACATTTGCATCGTTTCGTAAATTTTCTACATTTGAACACATCGGTGCAATTAAAACAACACTTAGAAATGCATTTTGGAGACTTGCAATAAAACAACGATGTAATTATAACATTCATCATAATAACAAGCCCACTTATTAAGATATTGATCCAAAGCAATCTTCCAAAATTAGATACATCATCAGAATTTGGTGGCATAGAATCATTGAAGAGGCGAATGAGCACTGCATTTGCCAGAAAAACAAAAATTGATAAACCAAGTTTTTCAGAACTTTTTGCAGGTAACAAAAAGGAAAAACAATCAGCAATTGATAACGAAATTGACGGCATCAGGAAATTCCAAGTGTAAAACGTTCTTTTACGTTTCATTTTTATCTTCAATTGCAAACCAGAGATTTCTGTATTCGATCGAAAAAAGACTTGCCCATATGAGTAAAATGACAGAACCTCCCATTCACCATTGGGTACAAAATTGGCAAGGCTTAAAGAATCCCCTTCACTTCGTAATATTTCAGACTGATCATTAAGATAGGATTTCGTTACGTTAATGTCGCATGTTTGAGTTTCAAAGGGATAATTCGTCATATCAACTTTACAGTGAGTTTGTAAATTAACATAAGCCCACCATTCAATTAATCCATCATGATTGACGGTGACGTAATGATCATCATCATCATTTGTCAGCATTTTCTGTGTACTTACAGAATTCAAAATTATAACATCAGGTTTCCAAATAGACGCTAGGGTAACTGTCAATCGATCAATACCACTGTAATTTGTTAAGTTCCATACCATAAGCTCATCTCTCCAAGATATCTTGAATGCTGCTGACGTGGACAGCAATTGATTCTTCATATCCAGCTCGTAAACCGATAAAAGCGAAAAATACATCGACACTTTCACAGATGAGTTCATGTCCATAACAGGAATAATTTGTCTATCATAGTTTTTAAATAAATCTTTTTTTAACACTATTACATCAGTAATGCTGTAGGCCATCAGTTTTGCGATAAATAAATATGCACAGAAAATAAATAGAGCAAAATCCATGTTCCTTCTAGATTGGTATAACATCATACTAATTTTACCTGTAATAAAGCCTGTGTTTTGGATGTTTCAGACGTTGCTATCGAACGGTAGTTATAACAAAAGGTGCATTTCAAAAGAAATTAAATTCATTGATTTGTGTACGTATTGAAAATAGTTTAAAACCCCAATCTATACAAACTTCATTCAAATGTTAAATGGATGATTGCAAATATTTTGAATAGGATATACAGTTTCTGTTTTTTTGGGAAAGGTAATTCCGAGTATATTTTCTAGTTTCATTTTCATTTACCAATACACTTATCAGGTTGAATTTAATTCGCTTTAATGATGACGTTTTGTAGGGGTTTTATTTTTGAATAATTTTGTTTTGTGCGAAGGTGTATTTGAACCATTACATGTATTAAAATGGCTATAAATAATATCAAATCAGATCTATTATAGATTTATCATCATATGTATTATTAATTCATTTAGGTACATGGCTTACAAATGCTTCGCAGAATACTTAATCTAGGTAAAAATATATTTTGAATAACGGGTGGTGGTAGGATTTTGAAAAATTGTCAATGGTCTTGAAATACATTTAAATTTTAACCATATGAAGCTACATATCAATTTTATACACATATCAGGTAACTATACTGTATAAAGTCAAATTTATATATCTTATTGAAATAATGATGATAATTATCAAGGTAATGAAATGTTTAATGTGTAAAACAGTAGAAATTTTCAGTTTTTTATATTTACAATTTGCGGGATTTGCGAAATATAGCGAATTATAAGAGAATGGTTGAAATTCTTTTCAACAGAAGATACTTTAATTGACATTTTCATTTTATGCTAACTTTTGCGTACTTCTTAACATATTCTTACGACGGTTATGCCTTATTTTACCCTTGATTTAATTCCGGGAACTGTGCTTTATTACTCATGTTACTCTTTTCATAATAGGTAATCAGCTATTAATGTCTCTTTGAGATTCTGTCACTATGTAATGATTGCACGTTGCGTGTTATGTTTTTGGATGTTATTTTATTTTGTTAACTGATCTTGCCGACTTTAAATAAAACACATGATTTAAAATGATCTGTTAAAATTTACAGCATTCATAGATGTCGGAATCAAAACACATCCATTTTTGTGACATTTCGAAAATTGGTCTTTTGCACATGTACATCTTGTAACATACATTTCCTGGTCATAAGGGTTCAATTTAGTCTGACATTTAAAATTTGTTGATAACCATTAAACTATTTTATTTGAAATCTTATTGTTTTGTCTCTTCCGTGACAGGTTTACGGACAATTTTGAATTCCTCTTCATTTCAGTAAAGATAGATTCTTTTCCCTATTTTTTCATGAATTCCGTGCGAACCATTCGTGTGTTCGTTATATCGGCTTATAGTCTTTCCTCGTAAATATGACTTCTCTTCTCAATCTTAAAATTAGAAAAAAAACTAAATACTCAGTAGAAACGATTGCATATTATTTCAAATACAGTTGGTTATGATGATTTATTGAAATTAATAAAAAAAAAAAGTATAAAAATAAGTTCTAGCAGACAATACTGACTGACATTTCAAACCAAAGGGACATTCAAACTCACAAGTCGAAAATAGACTGACAACGTCATGGCTAAAATGAAAAAGGCCAACAAACACACAACAGTACACAAAACACAACATAGAAAACATAGCAACACGAATCCCAAAGTAAATATAAATACATAACTTATGCTTACAAATTAGAATATCATTAATTTAATAAATAAAAGATCTCTTACAACATTGCACAATGTTTTTTAGTTACTGCCTTCGACTATCTTTCATAAACTACTGATTAGACAGTTGTCTGTCGAGTAAACGCTCATCTTCATGTGCAGAATTTTGACTTACGTAGGTATTTACTTAATCATGGAATAGGAATTTGGGGACATCAAAATATTGCCACAACTAAAAAAGAACACGCTTGAATTATTCTTTTTTTGCAATGTCAAATTCGTTGTACAATCATGGTGATGAAGTTATTTGGATCCTTTCTTCATAAATGAACGTATATCCGAAAAAAAAACAATTTCTACAAATTAACAATTTTTTGGAATTTCATAAAATAAAACTTCATTTGAATTTTAAGACAACACGTCAAGAAATGACGGCTATATCCGGGCGACACGACAAAATTGGCCATTATTTGCACAGGTCCCTGTCCTCAAAATAGGTTGTCCAATTTTGATATTTTGAAAACGGACTGACGGACAGGTAAAAACTTTTAATCATCCGGTCTTTGTAGCGTGGGGTATAAAGTATAAAAGTTGAATGTAAGTGCCAAAAGAGTCTTATGGTGTCGAAACGTGTTCCCGTAGAAACTAAAGTCCACAACATTGAATACACACATTAATGAATAAACGTACTATCTGATTTGTACTGTCAAAACGTGTACTGTTCCCTCATATCTTTTAATAATCGTAGTTTTGTCGATTTTGTTTGATAATGGAGTTATTCTTTATCATATTTAAATCGATGTCAAGATGTTACACATATTGCTAAATTATTATGAAAATCCAAGCCATCGTTAGTAAATAAGTGTCAATGAAGGCCGTCATAAAACGGCAACACCAGAACATGAGAACAAACCAAGAAATTAAGCCTTTGCAAAATTTATCAAATATTCTTTTTAATAAACAGTAAATAAGATTACATTATGATTGGGGATGGTATAGCCTTCCACTTATTTTTTTTTTATTTTGAATTCATTTACTTTCAAGTGTTTATTGTTTAACTCTTTTTCGCTGTATATATATATATATATATATATATAAAGAAGCTGTGGTTTGAATGCCAATAAGACAACTTTCCACAAGAGACCAAATGACACAGAAATTAACAACTATATGTCACCGTAAGGCCTTCAACAATGAGCAAAGCCCATACCGCATAGTCAGCTTCAAAAGGCTCCGAAATGACAAATGTAAAACAATTCAAACGAGAAAACTTACGGCCTAATTTATGTATAAAATAATAACGAAAAACAAATATGTTACACAGCAAAAAACGACAACCACTGAATCACAGGCTCCTGCGACTCTTACTCGTAAGTCATTTCAATTGTAAGATTTTTTGTGAAATGAGTCGCTGACCTTTAAATCATAAAGTGACTATACAGCTTATGTTAGCAGTTTTGTACGCTAATCTTTGATACTGCATGATAGTAGAACACATCAAAATAAGGCGAGACAATTGAAAAAACGTGGCATTTAGCTCAACTGGCTGAGAAGTATAGGATGAAATTCTTAATATAAAAAGATTGGGACTATACGATCCTAATAGTTATTTTTTTCGGATTTTTTTTTTTCTTTTGATTTAAACGTTCATTTTAATATTGAAAATCGTCATGAACATGCATGGAATATTTGCCAATTGTTTTTAAGAAAGCAACAAATAATTGAGGGTGTGGATGGGGGTTTACAGAATAGAGAATTATGGGCAAAACATATACAGAATAGAGAAAAATCGACCTAAAATAAAGAAAAGAGAATAATGAGGTGCCAAAATATAAAGAATAGAGAATAATGGGCAAAAACTATAAAGAATAGAGAAAAATGGAATAAAAGATTAAAGAATTCAGAAATGAAGGACCCCTATTTATAGCAAGCCGTTCTCGTCAAAACTATGTTTTAACCATTTTTTCGAAACAAATTACACACTGAGAAATAAAAAAATCACACTGAGATTAAAGATCCTAAAATAACAACTGAGAAATCGAGATTACACACTGAGATTTTATAAAAACGCAGAGATTACAAAAAATGAAAAACACACACTGAGAATTGTTAATTACACAATGAGATTTAAAAAATACACACTGGTATTAATATGCAAATCACTAATGAATATTCATGAGATGAATAATTCAACAGATTAATATCTTGGTCTCCCGAACTCTTGTCATTATAATGAAATGCGGTTCCTACAACCAACATTCGTAACAAATTTTAAGACTTAACAACTTTTTTTGCTAACTCATGTTCATAAGTTTGTTGCCTATAATTCAGATTATTACTAACAGTATATCGGGATTTTTTGCTTAAAACTGTTTCAGCATGGTCCCTATTCAAAAGTCTTTCAACTGTTACCCTGATTTCACAAGGTAATCTTTTATATTTTTGTTACGTTTATATGCTATAATAAGCACTTGGGAATTCACTGCATTGTTTGTATTTTTGCAGATTGTTCCAATGTTTTCTTATAATTTTAATAAAGTTTTTCACCATTTGGTTATATTTTGTAATGAGAGTAAGTGGGTATATTTCTTGTTCTATTGGTCTTTAATAATGAAGTTTTTCTATACGTTGTATTTTTAATGTTTTTATAAAACATTTAGCGCCAAATTGAAGCATAAAAAGTGCGCACAAATCTCAGTGTGTAATTTTAAATTCTCAGTGTGTAATTTCAAATTCTCAGTGTGTGTTTTTCAGTTTATATCATCTCAGTGTGTCTTTTTAGAAATATTCATGCAGATGTAGTGAGACTTTGGACTTGTTCTATAGTTAAACAGGATTTTTTTTAAAGTCCAGAGATTGACGGCTCACGCAGATCGAGTCGAAATGTGACGTTGCTGTGGATGCCTTGTATAGATTGTGATGTCAGGTAAATATATAGGTCATAGAAACGTATGCAGTAACGTCGAAGATGGCGAATATGTACACTGCTTTCATCATATCGTTATATTTTAGCCTTTTTGTTGAAGTTATTACCCGCTGTATACCTTTAACAAAGCCAGTTGATTTCAACACCGCTAAAGCAGGCCTTATAATTGAATGGGAGGTATTTAGGTAAGTTATGTACGAACAAAGTTAATATCATTTTAGAATCTCTGTACTTCAAGGTTAGAGTTCTGAAGGAATGAGTTTCACAAACAACCAAAAAACAACTTACAACTAAAATTGATCGTAAGTCTTACACAATTCAGTATACTTACGATCAATTTTTGTAAGAATTTTTGTAAACTCATTCCTGCACTCCGTTTCACAAAAAATCTTACGAAAAAAGTTGATCGTAAATATATATATATATATACTT